CCTAGTTCTGACGGACGCGCGGAACGACCCAAGATTTCCATATCAATCTCTTCATACTGACTTTGTCCATGCCCATGCTTGGCTAGAAATTACTTAAGCAAGTGAAATGCATTTTCTCGTAAAGTTATATCACCATTGCTATACTAGATCGGGTAGAGTCTGTAGGTTGGAGAATCGATTATTTTGACCCACAACCTCTATCCTATCTAGCTTGGCTCCAAGGATTCACCCATAGTTCACCTTCCCATCTTTTGGGGGTCTGCGCACCGATCGCAATTTCAATCGATATTGCCGACAGCCTAAGACAATATCTAAACTCAACTTCTACCCTTGTTCTCGGCCTTTGACGCGCCCCATTACTTATATGAGGTTTTCTTCGCAGGAGCCCTTTGAAGAAATCGCTAAATGGATTTCCCATGCTTTCGGATTTATCCTTTACCAGTTCAAAAGCTGCCAAGTAAAGCAATTGGGATAATGGATTCCCCATCAGGCAAACATAAAGAGATCTCAGGTTTCTGGGACCCAAGAAACCCATATTCACTGATCCTAATCTGTTTACTGTTTACGATTTCACAAATCCTCTTCTCATAAGCGTGCCGCTAAAGCCGTGAAAAGCCTTAGCGGTGAGAAACAGTACCTCAGTGGTATTCAGAAAGTAAGCAGAGGATAGTCTCTACATCAACTACTTCCTACAAGTTCGAAATCTAAGAAACCTGTAGATGAAGAGTCGTCCTTGCAGGCATGCTTGAGACGAATACGAGCAAATCGGCATCCTTCGGTTTTGCGCAGGAAAGTACGCCAAGTTTCCGAAGAACGGGTGCTGACTGGAATAACGATGTCATTCACTATCTTTAGTGGTATTAGGGGCCTATCGTCCCTTCAATAGAACGTACCTCAGATAGATGTTGAAGCACTTCACTCGTTAATGCATCACATTCCACAAATTTGCACTCACGCAGGACTTTGAAAGTCCCCGACATCAATAGCGTTTGGAATAATACAACGTCCTCAACAAAGGAGGCCTGAAAACGCAGTTTTAATAAGGTTTCAACGTAAATATTGGGTTAACATCATCAGCTATGGATAGCCAAGCAAGCTAGTTGCGCCGCGACGCGACCGCGCGCTATGTTGGCACTCTGTAGCACACCCTTGTAACGCGGTGCAAAAAAATCAGAGGCATCGTATGTGCAGGCAATTATAATAATATGTCAGTTAAAGTAAATATACTAGTGNGCCCCTTCTTTTGAAGCGGTTATGAACTTTAACGGGGAAAAAAATTAAGGAACGGGCGTAGCGGTGAGAGCTCGTCCTCAAACAACTGCCCTCCAAGGGCTCCTCCAACCAACTGTTCACTTGGAAGCGCCATCGCTGCTATCTCCTAACTACTCTATGGGAACACGATTTCATTTGTAAACGACAAGATCCCTCCAGGCCTCTGTTGTTACTTTACTATAACACAGTAAAACAAGCAGTAACAGCTAATGATATCGACTTTTTGCCAGCATGAAAGCCCTGCCAAATGTGAGGCTACGACTTTGCAAAAAGCTGGGATATCTGAGCTCAAGGGTCAATCATGGCTTACGGTGTCTCGTATTTGGTATGCTGTCCACTCGTGGCTTCTACCTACAATTAGTAAGCAGTAACCTTAGCTGTTCCTTGCACGATTACTGCCAGCTGACAATGCCGCTTATCACCTGTCCCTATCTATGGGCACACCGAACTAGACAGTCGGCCAGGCCTTAGCCAAGCGCTTTGCATGTAATCGTTAAAGTATCGCTTTCCAATGATATCAAAAAATAATTGTAAACGGTTATACCTCAAATTTCGTCAGCACATAGAATAANGAAGTTGGTGGCCTCAGCTCCTGGAATGGCGATCTGGAAATAGTCACGATCGGTGCAGAGGAAACATCAAATATTTAAAACTGTTGAGAGAATGACGAAGGGAAATTGAAGTAAACGAAGAAGATAAACAGTAAATACAAAAGATAATCTATCAAAGAATATTTGTTAACAGTCAATATGGAAACAGCTGAAAGCAAAGACTTCAAAACACTTACTCAAAAGATTTGGGATCGGGATAATTTTGCAAAATGGAGAGATGCAGTCCTATCCGCTTTCGTCGAAGTTCGCAACAAACACTGTATACACTTTCCAAGGAACTCCGATTACAAAGAACATTGACAGCTAAGATGCTCAATTTCCTGAAATGAACAGAACTGATATGGATCTTTCTAAAATAACTGGTAGGACTCGTATATTATACATGCAGACAGTACTGCATGAACGATCTTTTATCTCTTTTTAATAAAAGACCTCCAAACGGTCAACCACTGTAATTTTCCAGATCTAAGACAACAGTGGCATCGGGGAAGTGGGTAGTCAGCCACTGGGAGGTTTTCTATCGACGCATAGCACAGCCCTCAGTGGCTGATCGTCTTGGATCCGCCTCCAGGCGTCCGCCCACACCCGTAATGCCACTGTCTAGAGTAACTAAACCAAAATTCCTTACTGATTGAAATTGATGAAGTCCTTCATGGCTGCCAAAATATCTCCGTAGCAGAGGTCAAATTTGATCATCTTCAGATTCATTTCGAATTCATTTCCTTGTAGATTCAACGAGCAAATTTTGCACATCCGTAAATTCTGTAAAAGGCCATTATTAGTTCGAATCAGGAACAGTTGATACAATTAAAATTAGATGATAAAGTAGTGTCGAAGATTATTCCGGAGCTATAAAGCCATAATAATCAGAGGGAACTAACGTTATGTCCTACACCACTAGACAAATTTTACAAATGTCTTCTTACAATTCCACTAGAACTTAATTTCAAAAAACCTTTCACCAAGTAAACCGTTAAAACTCACAAGAATGGAGAGCTTGGGCAAATTGCTGCTGGACACAACTCGAACGAATGTTTTGAAATCTTCTGGCCGTGACATATCAGCATGTGAAAGTGTAAAATACTCGAGATCAGTAAGGTGGGCAAGCTTCGGCAATAGAGCTTGATAATGAGACTGTTCCCGTTTCGAAAAATCCAGTGAGGTCACCGTCTTTGGAAATTCATAGTCACCTTCTAAAAATTTTGGGTTATTTCTGTCAATGTAGTACTTATAAGAAACCAGCACCATTCGAGTATTATAGACGCACTGGGCTCACTGTAAATTTGGTCGCGGAGATCGGCAGTACCCACCGCTCTTGTGATTGGCGCGTTGTCGGACTGCACGCTGTTAGGCGGCTTGCAGTTTGACAACGCGCCAATGAGAAGTGCGCTGCCCAGTGCATCAAGTGTATCTACTGTCTTTAACTGCATTTTGGCAATTGAAAATTTGATCAAACTGACTTACCTACACCATAATTGTCCAGTATAAGGGTAGTCAGTTTAGTGAAGTCTGGAAATGATGGTAACTCAAGTCCAGAAGCATGGAACTGATTCGAGTGTGGCCGCATATTCAATGCTGACAGATATGGAAGACGTTGATGGAGATACGGTAGAACATGTACATCCGCATACGGATAGACATCAACACACTTCACATCTAACTGTTCGGCAATAGCATCTGAACTTCAAATGATGATTACATTACCTACAAAAGTAGTACTACAGCAGTACTGCAGAACACACAACTTTGCTAGGGAATGGCTCAAGGGTAATGAAAAGTATGTATGCCCCCACCCCCCCTAATTTACTCCAAGTTTGACTAATGAGCTTTCGCAAACCTTAAAAGCCAATGGTCACTCGTGGCATCACCTAACCTCTTTAGGAGCATCTTTAGCAAAATACCATCTTGTTCTCCTAATCCAAAAGTTATGACAGGGAACGGAAATGACAAGAAAAACTGATTATGAATCTTTTTCCTCGAGAACGAAAAAAGGAGGAACTAATGAATGAAGTAACTCATGGTGGCGGCCATACTAAGCGTGAAGCGGTGTCCCTGAGAGGACCATCAGCCTATTGATGCATCACGTGCGTAGACCGCACCCCCACGATCGATTTGTCTAGTGCGTCAGTGTACCTGCCTATAGTTCTAGCACGGCGTTATCATTAGAATCAAAGAAAGAAGTCAATGAAGGGAAGAACAATTTGCTTAGTAGCTCCTGTTTCCCAAAACGATATCTTCGGAACAAGTTTCGGCCACGCCCCTTCTTAAACTGATTGCTTCTACCTCGGGATAGCATTTCAGTAATATCTTCAAGTAGCTCCAATTTAAACGTACCGATGCAATTTTTGGCGAATTCTTCGGTATAGAACCACAATTTAGCAGTGTGGGCGGTGGATATATGTCGGAAGACATTCCGTAATCCATCGAAATCATTCACGAATGTGCCTTTAACACTAAAATAGGATCGCGGAAAATGCAATCAACGAAATTCAAGAGGAAATAGAAAATATAGCAGCTAAATAGGTGAAATAACATAGGTGGGATTCACACTCTTCCTCTAACACTAGGTGCTAGAGCGCAGAGAAGCAGGGGTAGCCCATCCCTCTCTGCCCTCTAGCGTTATCTGGAAGCCTGTAATAGTGATTGGAAACTTTTTTCAGCCAGGGGAATATGGGAATAATAAATATTGCACTTAATCTAAGGAGGGGAACGGCATCGAGGTGAGTGAGGTGCAAAAAGCTGAGACGGGCGAAAATCCCGCTAGAAGAGCACCATTACAGCCCCACAGAGTTGGCTCCCTCTCCTTCTCTGCACTCTAACGCCTAGTGTAAGAGAAAATAAATGCCCCCCCCCCCCCCCCCCTCCGCAATAACATTTTCAGCGCTAACTAATACAAGGGAATGGGGCAAGCTACGGTGAGTGGTTTTTTGTACATTCGGAAAACTTAGAAGTATATTCAAGAAAAGACGCAAGTCCTCTTAAGCGACTTACTGGGCATCATGTAGAATATATAAAAAGAGAGAAGTAACCTAATTACGTTGTATATCTATTTTTCGCGATCGTATCCACCCATACGTTTGGCTCAAACAGATTCACCACGACGACATCGGCCAGAGGACAATCTCGTGATGTTAGAATGTTGTGCCATCGAGAGCACACCTGAAAAAGTGCTAATCAAAGCAGTTCATGGAAAAGTAGCCATCAATCAAGCATACTCGTTCTGCGATAGCACGCTCTTTGAGTTCAAGATAGTTGAAGATTCGGCAGATCAACTCGGTTGGGAGAACATCGAAAGGGGGCGACGCCCCTGTTCCGTCCTCAGATTCTGCCTCCAGCTCTTCCTCAAAAAGCTCTCTAGGTTCATTGAAAAACGCATATGAGTGCTGAGCGCGAAAATTCGAATTCGAGAAAGGACGAGAAAAAGAAAATGATACGAAATTACAAGAAATGTAGGCCAAAAGATGCCAGCGCGGCCGCTGCGCGCCAAAAGAGGTCACCACATGCAGCCGTGCCGTGGTTCAATGCAGCGCGCTGGACTGATTTGACTGCGGCACAGCGCTGGAGCCTCTTGACCTACACATAGTAATTGAAAACAACGTTATAGGGATGATATATGTTTGCCATCGATAAATAAATGAAGTTCCTGACCTAGTTAATTCACGAGTTTCGTGTTTTCTTCCCCGGTCCAAATAATTTCATGAACCCTTTACTGTTTTTAAATCCAACATTATGAGGTGAAACAGTCTATTCAGTTTAATGCTCGGACAAACTTCTGATCCTGAAGGATTTCACTACTTCTGACAAATTCGAACCCGTCAAGTGCCAGCGTCAATACCGATCGATACCTATACGTGTTGTGCTTTCGTATCCTGTAAAGTCTAGCATGCGATTCTTCACAGGTCAGGGGAAATCCTCCTCCATTAACTGAGAAAAAAGTAAATTCATAATGACTGAAAGTAGTAATAACCGTAGATTTTGAGCGTCCCAAAAAAAAACTATGACCCAGCGCTCGCACGTGATTTCCCGCCTTTTTTGATGAGACCAATAGACGTGCTTGCGACGCGGCTGCGCACATCCTTCTGGTGGATGCCCTTCAAACGGAGCTAATCCCAGCGTGGCGCTTGTTTTTACTAACGATGCAATTCATTTTTTAGAGTAAGGTACTTTCGCAAGTAGTAAAATGACCGCTAGAAACCACGAAGAACCTTCAATTCTAGGCCTTGGGGCACTGCCTGTGACGGTCCGAAGGCTGTTTACTCGAAACGGTAGTCAGTACTCACGCGAAAAAGTTTGGTGCACATACAGGTAGTAATTTTCAGCCTATGTTTCGTCCTCTCTCGTATCACGGTAACAATCTTGTCTGATTATCTTGTTTGATTTTAGGGATGGTAGGCTCAGCTGACGAGGACGAAATTCGATCCTTGGGCTGAGCATGAGATAGCGGCGTCACTTGTCCCTACTCTATTTTCTTCGGCTGTCGTAGGAAAACGAGTACAATACACGGTAACGCGAAAAAGGTAAGTAAAAGCAGCAGAGAAACGGGTAAATGGTGATGCCATGAGGAAAACCAACAAGTATGTCAACTATGCATTGGAAAAGCGTATACAAAGAAGTGAACAGAGAGCAGAAGAACAGCATGCAATGAACTTTAACAGAGTGCAAAGTAATATGAGCCAACAAAGTGGAAAGGGCGTCAAATTTAAGAACAGCCTCTGATTGAGGGCTACACGCAAGAGCACATCGGCGGCGCGCACGCGGTGTGTCTCTGTTTCGCGATCGATATCCGCTGTTCAACCATTAGGAATGTAGTACCTCTTATCGCATGTTTCCTTGAGTGTAAGCAAAAGTTCATGTGAACGGGATTGGGACACCCTTTGAACTTCTACAACCGCTCGCCTGTCAAACAATTCATTTCGAATCTTTCTTTCCCCTGCACCTCCCTTTTGTTCACTACATCCATGTTTTTCACTTCATAATGCTTCGTCATTGGTTCGTTTCATCCATTTCACTATTCTTTTGTACCTTAGATCAAATATCACAACTTCGATGCCATAAATGTGAAAGTAGGCCTTTGTTGCGTTGCTATGTGACGAGAAACCATGGCATCAAATCGAATATTCAAAAATCGGATGAGCTTCTAAAGCATGGTGCAGGTTGGTAGGCATTAATAGGGAATGTAAGGATTTGCGTCGTTTCCTCACAATCACCTTATCCATATTATCGATTAAACAAAAAATAAATCTGACAGTAAAACTCGTTTTGCGGACGAGTTAGCTTTCAGTGGGTGCATGGGGGACGTTCGATTCGTGCGATTCCGGGTGCGCGCGGCGAAAATCGCGATGATTCAAATAGCTCCTGCGCCTATCATTGGGGCACAGGAGTTATTTGAAGGAGAGTACTTTAGTGGGGTCTTACAATCCTACTAACCTACTTTACTTCGAATTTGGGCTCCTATGTTAAACGCTGCACTCGTCCAAATCGCACCGATTTCGCCGCGCAATTTGCCGCGCGCACCCAGATCGCACGAATCGACACACACCCGGGTGCATGGAGTTAACTGGACATGACTAAGGATGGCGTAACCTTGGCTCCAATGAATTCTCATGTTTTGGAACAGCCATGAGATACATTATTTATAATTCACTTTAGCGCTGCCTCAAAGGACAGCCTCTGAAAATATTTTCCAATCCGTTAAATTATTAAAACTTAGAAAAACGCGAGTATTGATTGTTTAGAAGTATGAGTATGGGAAGTGTACATCATTTTATCGCGTTCCTCATCATGTTCAGAAATCCGTCTTAAAAAAATATTTCAAGAATAAAATTTTGTCACGCATTTCCACGGAATGATCAAATTCTACAAATAAGCCATTTTATAAATGCAAAGTTCCGAAAACAACAGGATTTCAATAATTCTTAATCAATTCTCAGTAAATTAAGCAAAGTACAAAGAACAAAAAGCGAAAAATAAAACAAATCGAAAAGACAAAAGAAATCGCACGAGAATAAAAAAACCAATTCGAAAAAACTCGTCCAATGACGTTGTCGGACAGCTGAGTGCGTCTCGGTGCGGCGGGTGGATTAAAGGAACATTTAATTGAATACCATGTAAATCCTACTCGAAACATTCTTGTACCAGTTTCATGAGTATGTTTGTCAAATGTGTGTCAATACTCAGTACAGATTACTGTAATTTCAATGTAGGCACATGTTCACCGGCCTTTTTTTTTCAAAAGCGATGCGTGCTTTGGAGCGGTCGATTTCATTGATTGTGGTCGTAAAATGTTTATTGCTGTTTTCAATCTACTGGTTGTAGAGAATTGAGTTCATCAAAAAACAGTAAGGAACAAAGAGTACAGCTTCATCAGTGAGGAATGAGAAACAATAAATGGGTACAAGCTGCCCGTTTAGGACATTTATGGGCACCCTAGATCTAGCAGTGGGGATTTGTACTAAGAAGTAAAATGTAACTTGAAAACCAGTTTGCAAAATTGCAACCCGGAGAAGGTCGTTTGGGGCTCAGCAGTGATTCAATCCCTTTTCTTTGAGTATTTTGTGTTTGTTGTGCGGGGCGATGTTGGGCAAACTAATGCGCAACACTTGACTCCATGAGGGGCCCATTATTCTGAGCAACAAAAGAACTATAAGTTCCAATACTGATTAAAACAAATTTACAATGCCTCCTTATATTAATTAATCTGCTGTTACATACATATGTGATTGCTCAGAAATAAAAAAAAATATGTTAATAAAGATAAAGTGGTTTCTAAACAGGAATCCCAGAGCCGCACGATTTTTATTGAGAGATTGATCTGTGGAGGGGATGAGACAGAACATGTTTCATAGCCCACGATTTAGTTACACTGTAGTCGTACAGAGCAAGATAGAAGAGACACTAGACGATCAGAGTACCCGTCACTTATACGGCGCACAGAATGGGGGCACAGGTGAAACGGGAGCTAACGCTCCAGCCGGGTTACATGGGCTGGATTGCACATAAGTTCGAAATGGTTAAGGTGAGTAAGTGTACTTGTTACCGGCCAAGCCTGTATACACATTTTATCTGACTGTTATAAGCTAGAATTAGATAGAGGTGGTCTTGAAGCGAAAATGTGCCCTTGTGGTTTTAAAAAATCCGTACGGAAAGGAAAAGCGAGTGATATGTCACATAAGCAAAGATGATGATTTTGAAAAATGTTTTTTAAGTGGGCGTGTTCAAAGAGTGGTCTTGGCAGTAATGGTAAAAGAAAGAAATCTGCATATAGGCATCAATATGAACTTATAAACAATTTGTTGGTCATTGCATATAAATAACTAGTCTGATAAATGAATAGAAAACATTGTAATTTCGGAGAATAATGAGAGATATCGGGCTCAGTAGAGGCAGGGCTAGGTGCTTATGCTACATTAGGCCCCATATATTGTCCTGTGTGGGCCATAGGTTATATAATGGCAATCCGGAGGCCTCCTCAACCTATTTAGAGCATTTTTACAACAATCATTTCTACCAGTAAGTATCTGAAAACGAAGTCAATACAGCCTACTAAGAATGGATACATATGACTGTCAAAGGCTCCACTGTTTGAGTTCTTTTCTTCCACTCCGCTCGAGTTACGAAAAAATCACATCCTTCTTAATGGAAAACGTAAAATACAATTATTTGAGTAAACAAAGCTCCGGACGAATTAAAAGTAACTTCAATGAGAATGACAGAAATGCACGAAAATTCGGAACCATGAGCAAAAGTTTTAAAAAATAGACGAGTAAAAACAAAGTAATCATTGATAGTAGATATCCAGTGAATCCCTAGAACCCAATTCAATGAAAAAATAAACATGAAGCCCAAACATTCCTGACGGGGGCGCTGACCATTTGATTATTGCAACGAGGATAACACGGGGGTTGTGTGAGAGGGCGCCTGGCAGGATATTGATTGGTCGACCTCTGGGACGCCTTTTGAATAGAAAATTGAGCAATGAACTGGGTGATTATGTACATAACACTTTTATTTGTTCATTTTAGTTTTATCTACTCTTAACAACTAACTGGTAACTGCACTGCATGATCTTTGCCCCTTGAAAGGCGTGTAAACAAAGCGGAAAGTTCAAGATAGCGTCCACCCACAGCTGCCGCTTTTGTTCGTACTTGTCGAATGTGTCAAGAGAAAAACAATCTTTTACTTCTACTTACTTCTTTTGTTTACTTATTGAGACGTCATCCGATTCAAAACATGCTTTTGCAACATTCAATCGTTTTTTAAGTGGGCATGTTCGCATTGCACGGTATTGCAATTATTGTTTAAAGAAAGAAATTTGGAAGTGGATTTCAAAATAGACTTGCAAAGGATTGGTTATAAAGTAGTTGCATATAATTATTAAAAGTAACTACTTTCAATTGAAATAAGAGAAATGTTCACAGTAATATGTTGGCCATAAAATACTCAGGCAGCTGGTCTATAAAAATAAATAAATATTAAACTAATATCAATAAATGAATAATTATTCATTTGTATCTATAAATATAGAACTTTCAAAAAAAAGGGTAGTTACCCTTCAAGATCAATGATGGAAATATTTGGAGAATGCGCAGCTACTTATCTGCTAACCTAATAGTCTAACCTATTTAGAGAGCACCACGGAGTGCGCCATGTATCCTTCATTCTCTCCCATTCTTCTCATTTCTTTTTATAAAGTAGTGGTCTTTGAAATACGCCGTGACTTGGGGCAAAGCAAATTATAAAGTTAGTAATTAGATCTTTGTTGAAAACCAATTTTGAGGACAATTCCTTCCGCATTCCATGCAAATACCTTCCAAATGATCTCAAAGAAAGGGAACGGATAGACGAATTCTCAGCCGCAGGGTTTCCTGTTTCACTCTTCAGGGAATACTTGGATTATATGTATGCGTCCCCGTATATGAACGCTCGACCATAATATTAACACACACACATTTATTTGAATGACATCAAGTGAACTAGTTTGTGCTTTTCAGTAGCCTTTGAAAGGGTGGGACATGGGATTTGGGCGGAGCTTGTGAATGAAGGCTAATTCTTGACTTCGTGCTTCTCAACTTTTAGCAACGTAAAAGGCATATTTCGACTTCCTTATGGAGGGATTGTTATAATCACTTACGGGTGAGAGTTGCTTCATTCACTTAATAGCTACCGCCACGTTCCTCTTAATCGTAACTGCCCAATGATGAGAGTAAGCAAGTTTGAGAGTTTGGAACTGGACTTTTCTCCAGTTTTCTGAAGTTTTTCCGATGATCGATCATATAACGATAACTGGACTACCGTAATACGAACTGGTTCAAGAAAATGACAACAGTATGAAATGGCATTAGCGTCAACAGATGTGACATTGCTGACGAAAATCGGTGAAAATTGGGAAAATCAAGTCATTTTCTTGTCAATATAAATTTGATGAAAGACTTATGTGCACTGCATCACTGTTTCATAGATTCAACGTCACAGTTCCAGCCGTATGTTGCTAAATCCTTGGCAAACGGAGTCTTACAAACTAAAGGTTGGCACTGACTTTTCAAAGGGCGTGATCAGTGAGATGGGTGGGGTCGGTACATCGAGTTTGGTGCCTCTTTTTTGGAGTGATCGTGTACAGATTGTAAAGGTGACTCCAACAGTGAAAAATTAAAAGGGTTTGCTCGGCTTCTCTTCGAAAGCTCTACCAAAGGTTTTAACGTAACAACTACATACCGTAAAGATAGAATTGAAGATTACTAAAGCTCAGTGATTATGTATAACACTTTTAATTCCAAGTTTTAAAGGCTAATTGGGAAATTGATATATTAAAACAAAGCAGCTAGATTAGAGCTCAATTACTTACTTATCTAGTGATATGATTGTTTTTGAAAAAACATTCACAGGAGAGGACATCAACCAAAATTATCTGCCTTTTCCATTTCGACATTTTCCACTAGGAACCCTAGTATGGGAGCCGATAAAAGACCAGCCTCCAGAGAATTCGAAAATTCGGGCATAATTCTCCAAAGGTTTCGCCCGTGTAGGATGCGCCACGTAATCGATTTTGTCAAGCGAGCGCTAAAGATGTTGATATTTCACGCGCCAAATAAATCGGCTACAGGACCAGGGGCATTAAACACCCTAGCTGCACCCCAGCTTTTACATCTGTCCGATTGTGAAAACGTAACTTTCACTCTTAAAAGGTAGCTCAGACCGTTTTGGACAAATCATACCCATT